TTGTTATTGCTTATCATAATATTAGTGGAGGTTTTTGTTGTGAATAGGGCATCACGTAAAATAACATGATTAGTCATACTTTTAAAACAATTCCCAAAAAGTATGAAAAATATCGTGGGAAGAGGAGTTGAACCGTCGACTTTATGCTTAGGAAACCTACACTCTATCCACCACCCTTCTTCCACACATCACTGCTAGCATCGCCGAATACAAAACCTTCCATTAAAAGGGTTGACGAATGAACGCTACAATTGCTCTTCATTAGTTAAAAATTGGATATTAGAGATGTGATGTTCATTTATGCTAGCTGTTGCAACCCAATTAACTTGTTGGATTTGAAAATGAGGGTTTTGATTTTTAAAAACTTTTGGATTTATGATGGTTTTGTTGCGTTATGGATTGAAAGAGTATGTTGTTTGTTTAGTTAATTTTTATCATAGATTTATAATGAATTTGTTTCACATTTTTGCCTTCCATATCAAATCCCAAACGAACTGTGGGATTTGCAAATCAGTGGGCCCCACGGATTTGTGTCCCTCAACAAACAATAGATTTGTGTCAATTCTATGATACTTGGGATTTAGGTGCCACCATCACCCAAATCCCACAAGCAAAAAATATCTAAATTTTGAATTTCCCATAATAATCCACTTATAGCAACATCATAGTTTTCTCCCGATAAGCACCATATGAAGAATTAATAGTTCTACAATAATTCATGGCAGCGAGGCGTGGCAACCAAATCGACACCATTAAACAATGCCTTGACGACTTCTGCTCCAGTTCCAGACAGCGATTAACTTGGAGAAATCTTCCATGTTTGTCTCCCCAAACATCCAAAGATCCAAGGCCCAACTTGTTGGGAACAAGGCGGGGATTCGGCTAACTACAGACTTAGGAAAATATTTGGGGCATAACACCATCAATGATCGAATCTCAAAATAAAGATATGGTTACATGTCCCTCAAAATTCATGAGAAGCTTGCCCTCTAGAAAGTTTGCTTTCTATCGTTGGCGGCATGAATCACCCTGGTGAGATCTATAGTCGCTTCTATCGCTATCTATCCCATGTTTACATAACTACTTCTAGCATCTGTTTGTCGTGAATTAAATAAAGCCCAAAGACAGTTTATCTGGGGTGAGGAAGATGGCAAAAGACGATATCACTCACTAGCTTGGGAGGAGATGGTCAAGTCAAAAAAACTGCGGAGGCATGGGCATTCGCCCCACCAGAAGAGTTAACAAAGCCATGATGGCCAAAGGGAGCTGAAAGCTAGCTACAGATGAAAAATTCCTATGGAACCAAGTAATGAAGGCAAAATACGGGAGATGCAGAAGCGTTCTACAAATCGTGAAACCAATACAGGGAAGTTCTTTCGCCTGGCAGAGTTTCAATAAAACTACCGCTATTTTGCGCAATGGTTCTGCTATGAATGTCCGTAACGGGCGAAGCGCTAACTTTTGGTTCGACACTTGGGCATTACAGATACCTGTTATTGAAGCTGCGATCACTCTGGTCCACGTGGACCTTCAATGCAAGAAGGTTGCATGCATGTGGGATGTTGACATGAGATGGAAGTTCTAGGATTTCGAACAATTTCTCCCTACGGAGATTGTTTCCAGAATCAGAGGGATTCTCCTAGACCCGCTGACACAAGATCCAGACTCCTTAAGCTGGAAACACCAGTGTTATCAAACCCGGACCTGCCCAGCCGACCAGACCGGATAAAATCGGACCTGTCCAATGATCCGGTCACGAAAGCCACAAAACGAGTAAAAAGTTGGCATGTCGGATTTGTAGTGGTTAACCGCCCAACCTGTTGAACCTGAACCAGCGGTTTTGGCGGATGATGAATCAAAAATAAAAATGAAAAAAAATCGCAGATCTTGAGAGCTCCTATTACTATTTCTCCTCAACCTCCAGTGTTTTTCTCGTTGTGCTATTAGTCTCATTTCTCATCTCAACCGCCATTGCCTTCTATCATTTGTTCTCATAAAAAGTAAGGAGAATAAATATGCAACTATAGGTTCTTCTGTGCATAGAGAAATAGAGATTGCAATTCAAAATAGGAAGGAATCAGAGAGAATGACACAAAGGAAAAGGGAGATTACTTAGATGAGATAGATGGAGAAAGAGAAAGACAGAGAGTGAGAGAGATGGTGTTTAGGATTCCATTTTGAAAATAGAGAAAAAGAGGGAAGGATGAGAGATAATGAGTAACGAAAAAATTGGAAAATAAATGATGGGGAGGAGATTTTTATGAGAAAAATTTTTTTTTGGGACATGTTGGATGGTGAAGAAATTTTTTTTTTGTGTTATTTATTTTAGTTTATCATTAATTTTTAATTGACACGTCAGATATTTAATGGTCAACTGTTAAGACTAACTGTCATATCAAATAAAGTTAACGGAGAATGATTAAACATAGACTTTTACTAATTCGAGTGACCAAAATTAATATTAATTTTTTCAGTGATTAAACATAACATGGTTTAATAAACTGAGTGACGAAACTTGGCATTTACCCATCGCTTGTCATTTGAAATTTTAACAAGAAGCAGCGGCAGAAGTCGGAGGTTGCAGAAGTAGAAGTCCAAAACGAAGGAAGAAATGGAAGAAGTGATTTATGCGTTTGGGAAAAGCTTAGGCTCTTTCTGCAATAGTCTGCAAGCAAGCTGCGATGGTCTCAAGCAGTCAATCGAACGCCGCCCTGTTCCTCTCGGTCCGGTGACTTGTCTCTTCTTCTTCCATTTCCATGTTTTTTTTCTTCGTTCTTTTACTTGGTCGCCAAACTGACGATTTCGCATTCTTGTTCATCCGGTTTTGGTACAGACCCGGCGTCGACTACTTTCATTCGGAACTTGAACCGCCGGTTATCTGCCGCCGGCAGAGATCTGAACCACCTGGAGTCGATGTCCTTCGGCACCGTCTCCTTGGAGGAGCTGCTAGGTCACTGCAACGAAGTTTACAAGAAGAATCAGAGCGATGTCCTCGAAATTGAAGATCAACTCCGGAGCTACGGCTACGTCCCCGGTACTTCCGATTTCCCAAACTTCCGACATTCTGAATTATGAATCGAATTGGGCTCCGGCCGCCAACGATCTGTTCTGAGTTCCGTATTTCATGTTAAACAGAACGATTAAGAATTCTCCTGAATTCACGTCGTTTATGTCTTCAGTATATTTATTATTTGTGTGATTCTTTGTTGGAAGTAGAAGTTGAGAATGATGATGACGACCAAGATCGAGCTCTTGAGTCTGAACTTAACGATGATGGACCATTCAACTCTTCTTCTCCTGATCTGGAGCCTGGAAAGAACGCAGTCGTCAAGATTTTAGATGAGGAAGATCCACTGTATCCTAACTACCAAATGTCGATACATATTATAATGTTTAGCTCTACTCATTTGGTCGCAGTAGAAAGCAAGTATTTCAAGACATCTATAGATATGACTGTTGTTATCTTTCTAGGGTTTGAAGAATCATAATCTAGTATCTTTCAATTCAATGGAAATGGCATATTGCAGCACTGTTGTTGCCCTCTCTTCAATGCTGTTCTTGGAGACTAGGCTACTTATTTAATGGGAGGCTAAGCATGCAATGATCATGATAAATTCAACCAACAGGATGATTAAAGTTTTATTCCTTGACCTCCCTTTAGTATGGATGAATCACTGAGTCTGAAGAGTTTTGGACTTTCAGACGTTTGCCTTGCCAGCTTAACATCTGGAGGTGAGTAGTAGCACTGCTTCGTTTAGTAAGAACTTTTCCCTTAATGTTTCTGCTGATTGGATTTCAAAACTTTATTGATGCTGGTTCACTTAAAGTTTTGAGAATCTCTGTTGATTAGTTTGAAGTTTTCTGGTGCTATTATGAAATGTTTCGGTTTCTTCCAGTTACGAGGTTGTTTTATTATCTCTCTGCAGGTAATCATGGACTTAGCCGTCCACATATATCGGTGGTAGAGCCACAGAGGTAAGTTACTTAACCTCAGGAATGAGCTTGTGTGTCGTGCGGGATAATTAGTTCCTAACCAACACATTTTCTACATGTTTTCCTATTGAGGTACGATGGTGACCCCAATGGTACCATCCAAGCTGCCTCAAAGACCTCAGTAGCTATTGAAGGTAGAAAGCAGCTGGCTAGTAAGTGGGGTTTCCTAACTTTCTTTCAAGAGCAGCACATGTCATAGTTTGCGTTTATCTGAAATGTAGACGAGACAGACAGCAAAAGGAAACCAGATTATGCTCCCAAAAGGGTGATAGAGCTATCAAAGGACAGCTACGAAGGTCTTCCTTCTTACATGAAAAACTTAACACCATGGGAGGTAGGCAATGCTCCAAGTCCTTAACTGTTATTTCTTTGATCCGCCATCACATCACATGCCACCCCAGGCTTGCGAAACAGCTTGCTGAAAATGAACGCACATTGCAGGACTTGGTCTCTGCTGTTGAGAAGATAAACTTAAGCATGAGTAAGAAGGAAGGAGTAGAGTATTTCCTGCAGGAGGAGGTCGACTCGTTGGGTTTAGGTATGCCTGCCATCTGCTGCATGCAAATGACATGAGGTTAGCATGCCTATTACATAGACTTGATCGTTGCTACCTTCTTACTGTGTATGCAGGTCCTAAATCCAGAACCTATATCCTGCTGCTCATTCGCATGAAACATCTGGTCGTTGAGACAACTAATGGTTCAATATCCTACCGAACATTATAAAAGTCTGGACTCTTGATGTTTGCATCTTTCGGTCTTATTTACCTCATCTTTGTTGCTCCGTGTTGTTTATCTAAACTAAGAGGTTTCCTGGAGAAGTGCCATTACTTTGCTCTATTACTACAAAGGCGTGAAGGGCATAGTAAGCAACAAAATGCTTTGTAGATTCCAGAATAGGTCAACCTTTCTACCTGGTGTTGAATCCATGGGCAGACTAGAGACGTGACGAACTGATGACAAGAAAGCAAAAGCGGTTCCCATAGTAGCGGCAAGCAAACTAGGAGTAGCCTAAATCGTGAAAACGGGGTTATGGGAGAGCAATACAAGCGTCAGCTCAAGTGAGGAAAAAGACTAACTTAAACTGAAGGTTAAAGAATAAGAGTGTGAAGCTCTCAAATCTCAATACAATTATACCAAGTATACAACCCTCCCATCCCTGCGTCAACTAAGTCAAAATCTTGCTTTTTAAAAAATTTATATACCAACTAAATTACACTAGTAGCTGTGATGTCTGGAAAGGGTGAGCGAGTGACTAAGTACCTCCCACCATTCTCCCCATCCAAAAAGGAGAAGCCCTAGCTCTGGAACAACGAAATTATGGTGGAGGCTCGGGCAGAGTGTCATCATCTATCAACAATTTATATCACTTCCAAGGAACAAAGACAGAAGGAAAAGCACACACTACACCAATGGGACTATGGGAGACATCCTCGCATCCTCTGTTCCTATTTACTCCATCTGGGGTAACATCACAGCTGCTCAGCAAGAAAACGCAAAAGCTGAAACTTTCACTTCCATCCCACTGCATAGCATACTGCTGCTCGCACCCTTGAGGTCAGGGGGGAAATCACCAAAACGTGGTTGTTTTCCGTTGGTCAGAGGCACATAACATAAGACATCCCATCCATTCATCACATATAGTTTTCGCCCAACCCTTGTATCCTCCCTTGGCTAATTGTAGATTTTAACTGGCTTCTCGTATGTGTGACGGTTCTGCAAAGTTCAGACAGATCGATATAAGACTGCCTCGAAGCAAAAGAGATTCAAACTAAAAATACCACTACGAAAAGATTTCACCTCTACGGCCCTAATCTTCTATTAAAAGTCTAGTTTGACAGGGACTTTTGGGATATAACTGGGAATGACACGTATAAACAGTCGCAGCTGCACAAACCTGATTTGCCGTATGAGGCCTCTTTGGTGTGGTATCCGGGTGCTCTAGTCCAAGGTACTGCTCCCACGCACCATAAACATCTCTCCTCTGGGTAAAACAAGGACCAATGATTAGATTAGAATGCAGCAAAAGTAATAGAATTTCAAGAGTATCTCGAGGTAAAACTGAAACTATGAGAGAGATACCTGAAACCGGGCGAATAAAACATCTGCATCGTTCAAATATTCTGGGCGACCCAGAGATAGGAAAGCAAATTTCCACTACAACAGAAAGCAAGAGAATGAGAAAGAAAGCTCTGAGCGCAAAAAAAAAATTCCTTTGGGCCATTTTCTATCTCTTGGATCTAGTAAAGCTGCGTGCTTCAGACATCAGGAGACAAAAAAAAAAAAAAACCAAAAAGGAAGGCAAGGTATGGAGTACCTTGGCAAAGTCTTCATCAGAAACTTGCAACTTCTTTTGTATGCGCACTTTAATGTCAGCTAAGGTCTCCCCATCATAGATGACCAAGAAAAATGGTTCCCCAAAATTCTGTATTTGCTTTGGAAGACACAGAAAAAAATAGCAATCTCTTAACTTCCCCACTACTCCAAAAAGTTTAGGACTGGAGGTACAAATACCATCAGTGGCTTAAAATATATCAGTCTTCCATTCGTGAAAAAGTAACTTAATTCGATCTTTCATACCATTTGATTCTGTGCAGTATCCCTTGTGAAGTGATAGACATGAATCAACCGATCCTGTGGACCAATATTTTTCTCATCCTCCGGGATCTGTATGAAAAAAGTGGATTAAACTCTACCATCTATGGTCATGCAATGTGACAATTTTCAGCAAGCTGAGAATTCCCTACAAAATGAAGGGAGAAAGAGGATTACCTCTTCTGCGCGCAATGTCCAGTATTGATCATTGATGTTCTCAATTTTTTCACTGGGTGGAAAAGTCTGTAACATAAATTATTTTATAAGAATAACCAGAATACCCGACAGCAAACAATGCATCGAATATTATAAAAAACAACCCAAACAGCTGAGACTTATTTCTACATATCAGCTGTGATCGGTACCTTGTATATCTTGTGATAGAAAACTTCAATCAGCCTAAGTTCTGCATTTGGGTGAGACAACTCGACCTGTTTAGAAGAAAGAGTAACGTTACATAAAAATAAGGCTACAACAGAATTTTCCAAAAAATAAAGATTTACTACAGAATTGACAAAGCACAAGGTTCAGTAAACAAGTTAAATATAGAAACACCCAAAATCAATTTCCAGAAACAATCAGTCATGTAAGAAATGCTTCAAATACAAAAAGAAAGCCCTCACCTTAGTTTTAAGTTCATTAATTACATCACCAACCGTACTCTGTTTAGGCAATCTGATATTATGGATTACAACCTGAGAATAAATCTCAAACAGTCAGTAAAAAAAGGCCTAAAAATCACCAAATTATGCCAAATCAGGAAACTCTGCAGCCAAACTTTATACATAACCTCCTCTTTAGTAGCATGATGGAAAGCAACTTTTAGATTCTTTAAACCTTGCAATTCCGGAAGAGGAATGTCCAGAACTTCGTAATACAAGATATCAGAGGTCTGTTATACGAAACAGCAAACCAGTGGTGACTGTTTAGTACAGTATGTGAAAACCAAGAAGATGGAGAAAGAACAATGTCTTTTTGGAGAGAGAGCAACAGCAAATTACCTGATTATAGTGGACTAACATATCTGACAAGCGATCAACTCCTCTGTACTTAATTGGTTGAGGTTTAGGCTGCTGAGAGTAGCAGTTGTGAGATGTTAATCTGATTTTTGAGGGGTCATTCAAGCCAATTTGGCGAGCCACTCGCTCCACAACATCATCATAAGTATGTAACTTAGACCTGAAAAGATTACCCAAAGATCAATATCACGTTATAAAGGATCTATTAAAGGAGAAAATTTTCAGACACTATTATAATTTATAACGAAAAAGGCAGTTGAGATCCAGTAACTCACAATTCCAGGCAGAAATCATCCTCTTTCGGTTTTTCCAGAGATCGGAAATGAACTACCTGCAAAGAATTCACAGCCCACAAAGGAACTGAGGGTTGATGTACAAACAAAAGTAGATCATGCTACACAATTTCAGTCGGAGAATTAAGGAGGTTCTCTTGTTAAAAAATACTCAACAAAAATTGTACTGAACCCTCCAACTAACACACCATCATCTGCAACTAATTGATAGAATCCATATATTAAACTTCAAAATGAAGGTACCTGCCGATTGTGAACATATTCCAGAAACGAAGTCACATCCGGATATTGAAATTCCTCCTCGTTCTCAACAAGAGATTTCTGGAAACAGATTATATCTCCATCTTCAATCTAAGACAAGACAAGAAAGACCCAAAAGTTTAGTAACTTCACAGTCGGAAGACAAATATCAACACACAGTAACAACCTACATACCTGACTAAGCCGAAATGAGGTTCTCTTGTCAAGGCGGTCACACATTACTGAAGGCTCAAATTTTATTTCCTGAACAGAACCATAGCATCAGGTGATGCTCAAAGATGAATGATTCATCCAGAAAAAAATAGCAAAATAAATAAATAAAAAAGAGATACGTATGGTGCTGAATTTGAACCAAATGACCGGTAGTAAAAATTCAGTGTTAAACGAGAGCTGTGCGAATTTCAGGATTAATGTCTAAAGTCAACTAGCCAGGACAAGGAGATCAAGACAACGAACCTCATAGAGTTCAATTTCTTCTTCAGGAGCAAAGCCAGCCATTTGATTGAGCTTTGCCAGAATTTCTATTGGTTTACTAGTGCTCTTCACAAAAAGTCTACCTACATATCTGCAAGTCAATTAAAATACCAAGTTGGATATTGTCAGAACTTCACTCCTCAAAATTTTTTATGTGCAACAGGTACGGGGGATGGACAAGAACAAGACAGGAGTGAGTACCTTAATTCTCCTTTCTCAGGGTCGTAGAACTTGAAGAAGAGAAGAATGTCTTCCTTGGTTTTGTCAGGTGGAGCAATTGGCCGTAAATCCTGCAGTTTCCATAGAGTTATTTTCTTTTAAGCAAATGTAGACTCATCCTTTTGTTTATTACACTTAATAACAAAACACCTTAAGTCTTGAAATCCAACATTACCAGCCCCAGTTCTACTTCCAGAAACAACTTTAGTTCTGCATTGTGCGTCTTATTTGACACCTCCCTCAGCTGTCCAACCTATAACCATTACCAATGATGCTTTCAGTTGAATGCTCAGTTATAAAAAAAATTTAAGGGCAGAATAAATATTCTTTGCTGCAGATAAAAATTTATCTAATTTCCCACTAGTTTATTCCAGGGTCAAGAATAGGAAAGTAAACCAGTCATAAATAGAAGCCACTAGAAATGCATCTAAAACATACAAAGATGCCATCATGTTACCTCAAAACAAACAACAGATAGACAGTTGTTAACTAAGTACATAATACAGACACCAAACCATACAACTACATAAATTTCCATCCCAAATACTCCGCGAAGTAATTCACTACTTTTCTAAAGCAGAACAGTACCGATTGTCCTTCCTCTTGTGACAGAAATGGCCGATTGGGACGGTATGTATGGTTTTGACGCTTTGCCCATATCCAGAACCGCTGAAATTGTACTGGTATACCAAATTCCTTGGCAACTTCCTCCTGCAACAGACACACAGAAAAATACCAAGTATAAGAGAATAGGTTTGAGAGGCAACAAACAGGTGAAGGAAGAAATCTTTTAGAATACCTTAAACAAGCTGAATGGTGTCTGTTTCTGTATGCGGAAACTACGAACTTTATCATGGTCCACAAGGTCAAAATATAGGTCTCTACCAATCTGCTCTTTGAGATCCTCATCTCTGGCAACCTAAATGCACATGGTTCACACAGTAGGTTGTCACTGCGTGTCACAGAGAGGATGAAGAGGAGAGGAAGAAAATGAATTAAGAGGAAGACCAAACCTTTATGATGGTATAGAGGTGAGCCTGTGCTTTATATCTTTTCTTGTCTTCCTTTTCTTCTTGCTCTTTCTTCAATCTTATCTGAAATATATGGTCTTGCATGTATTAGGCGCATACAGATTGATCAACATGCTAATACAGAACCTGCGATACGGATATTTTCTACAACCAAAAGCGAACATACTCTCAAGTGCTCCGCAATGTCCTTTTCATCCACATTGCAGATAATCTTGTCTCTGTCACTTTCACGTATATAGACAAGCATATACGCATTCGAGTATTTTGTGAACTTAAAAGGCGCGTTATTGAATCCTGGATTGGTCTGTGGCAGCTGCAGAACAAGAAGGATAAGGTAAGCCAACCTATACTCAGTAATATGGATCATAGATTTGACAAAACATTACCTCTTCCTCGCCACCATACTGTTCTTCTAGTGCCCTCTTCACGTCTTCTTTTGTCACACGTTCATCATCAAATTTGTACCTAAAGGAACAAAGCCAAAATACCAGAGTGAATGCTAGTTCAACTAATTAGAATTCCAAATGTGAAAACATGTTAAACTTAGTCATGAGTACTGGATCATCCTCTCCTATTCCCATTCATTAATGCCAGTTATAAATATAAAATAATCTGTAGGGCTCCAGTGTTTAATAATTAAAATCACAGCCTAGCGAATGTTTATTAACTTATGAAACACATTTTGACCCAAAAAACTTATTAGGCACAAAACAAATGCATTTTCCAGCAATTAATATTGAAATGTTCACAGCAGAAGACTTAGTAATCTGAAAAGCATATTGTAGGGATCTATCTGCCACATACATTCCCCAGGTAAAAATTAAAATAGAATATTCTACCAAGAAACTATCCAGTTTCTTGCCCTATCTACTCCTATTTACCAAGTGCTTATTTCAAAGGTGCACCATTTTAAGACAACAAATATGTTATTCCATGACCTTTGGACTCGCTTCCAACATGCAACAGCACCTTAAGTGCATTATTAATGATCAGGATGGTTTATAAGTATACTAAAGTATTACTAAAAATCGAGGACAGATCTCACTATCCAAGACATTGGCAACAAAAAAGTCAAAAAAATAAGGAAGCGAAATGGCTCCCTTGAAATGCTAGAATATTGAGGCACTTGCATAGGTGTTGAGAACAAAAAAAAAAAAAAAAAACAAATTGGGAGTGTAAGAATATCCCACAATCTTGGCCATATACATACCATTGATCTGATAGAGTAGGTCTGATAAAAGCATAATAATGCCCTCCATGCACCCCTCCACTATGAACCAATACACTGTATCACAAACCAGGAGAGCACATAAGTAGAAGTACTAACAACCTACTATGAGAAGCAGATCTCACCACCAAGTATTTCCAACAGAAACCACATCAGAAACACTTGATAATCGCACCTATGAAGAGTGTACAGATTACGAACACTCCTGTCAGCATCTGGCGACAAATATTTGCCATCTTCTCTATCAAGATCAAGTTGAAGAGGAAATTCATACCGATCATTGATCTGCAGTACACAATTCACATGCACCAACAGAATCAGGCTTATAAAGCATATGTTAGATACCCAATAAAACATGCACCATAGAAATCAGTTCTTCAAGGAACACCAAAGCCTGTAAGATGCTTATGTTGTACATCAAATGAAAATACTCACCTTTACCATGGTGTCCCGCAAAAAATCATACTCAAAGCGTTTTAGTTGCAGTTGAAGAACAGGCGGGAAGTCAACAAATAGGACACCTTTCTTTGCATCCTGAAACACCAAGCACAGACTATCATGAGCACGCACTGTCCTCTGAGATCATTGGAGTGATTAACTTGGGGAAGGCAGTTAATATATATATATATATATAATGAACCGTCCTCACTTCCTATATAGCAGAAAAAAACAGATCAAATCTTTGTGGGTGGGTAGGGGGACTCCCCGGTAATGCACTGGTCTGCTATGGATGGCTGTAGACCAGGCCACGAATATATTTTAAAAGTGCCAAACCCGAAACTGGGTACAAGAGTGTAGAAATCCTAAAGTGACAGACCCCAAAAGGGTACAAGAGGGTCGGTACTCGGTATCCCAACATAGAAAAGTGCCCAGCCCGAAAAAGGGTGATAGAACGTTAGAAGCCAAACAGGATATCCTTGAAGTATTTATCATTCAAATGAGCCAGTGGCATAGGTTTGAAAACACCCATTGATGGTGCCTACATCTGTACTGAGATCGGTCAGTCTTACATCCGGATTTCTGAAATAGAGTTAATCCCAGACACACAATGATTGACTAACCTGTAGACCATGTTCTTCAGCATGGTACTTGTTGTCACCCTCAAGTTGTTCAACTTCCACATACTTGTCAAATGATGCATAAACATCCTTGCAGCCTTTTACATCAAGCTGCAGATCTGCCATGTAATGTGCATTTCAGCATCCTACAGTCAGAGTGCTAGACAGAATATTGACATGCCAAGAAAATGGTAGTACCATAAAAGGACTCCTTCCTTGTAGATTTGTAGTCCACATTCACGCACTCAATGTAGTTCATATGGTGACCCTCAAATAGCTTCTGGATTGTGCCCTCCACGACAGTTCCCTGATCCCACGGAAGATCATGATAACAACAATAATTACAAGTACCCACAACTAATAACATATGCAAATCCCCCAACAAGAAAAGACATACAAGATGTATTAGATTTTGTTACCTTCATTTTATCTTCCAACTTCTCACATAATACTCTATTGAGTTCTTGGACATCATGCTGCATGAAAGAATCATAAGTATCCCATCCAAATGATTTTGTCAATTCCTTGGTTGCAACACTGGTATCATTATATTGAAGCTTATAGAACAGACTCTGCAGAGCCAAAGGAATGCTTCCGGTAGGCATGTCATTCTCAGTTGTTGGCATGTGGTATACAGCCTACAAATTATTTCAAAATAGCATCATTCAAACTGTAGAATAATAATTGACATTCAAATCTGGCAGCGTGAAAATTGAAATGGTAACAACCTTTCTAAAGTATGGAATATGGTACAAGGTTTGTAGAAGGGAGTTCATGTAACACGTTGCTCCCTGATTCTTTAGACCTACATAACCTGTTTCTTTCTTAGAGTCATAAGACCAATAATCCAGAACCTTCCGAACAACAACTTCAGCTTCAATAAGTACAGTATCATTCACAAGATATCCCCTACTAGGATCATAAAGATCACTGAGGGGCATAAATGATGTGAAACCCCAGTCACTCTCCCTTCCATTGAACTGGTGTTGAGTATCTGGGGAAAAACAAAGAAGTAAGCATATTAGAAACTACTCATTCAATAAATTGCTCAAGTCCACCACGTGACTCTTAAATCAACAAAGATAGGGCCAGATGGTGAAGTACAATAAGTGCCAAGAGCACAGAATGGAAGTTACAAAATATCTGAGCAGTTAGGAGGAGATATAGTACCATGCTTGAACTTCCATTCCCAGCAGGCAATAATCAATGAACAGAATACCAAATAATTACTTGTGACTAGTCCTAAATTCATCCCATGCACACGCTTGCCACGTTTCAGCACAATATCAAGCAAAAACCAAGGCACTGTCTATCAGAACCAGAAACGTACCTTTTCTGATTGAGTACTTGTTGTGAATTTGATTCACCACAGCCAAGCTGAATTGTGCATAGCGACTCCAGCCATAGGGCAATGTAGAAGAATCAGCAACATCCAAATACATCGACAGGTGGTCGACATTATTTCCCTTGGGAAAGACGAGAATGCGCCTGCCAAATCAGTTTTAGAAGAAAAATGAAAAAAATAGACACAATGAGAACTAGGTTATCCCAATCACATAAACAAGTAAATTAACAAGTTCAGCTGCAGAGATAAGAGGGATTTTAACCCAAGTACCATTTGTAACCGCCAACAACGAATGTATCAGAATAGTGTTTCTTCGTGTTCAACCTTGTGAAATTCTCAATTGTCCACGTGAATTTGAGTGACGGAGGAGGTTCCTCCACTGGCTGAGTCTCCACTGTATTAGCAGCAGGCTCCACTGTTGCCACTATTACGAGGGAAAGACAACATATTTCAAGCCCTGACGCCGGCAACTAACTAACCAAGGCAAACTACCGATCCATATGATGAAAATACTAAGCAAGTCAACAAGCCAAAACGATTGAACGAAGAAATTCAACTTCCTAACCTTCCATTGGCTGAGGACCTTCGACTAAATCTGAATGCGGCACTAGCATCTCCTCGTCTTCTTGCTACGAATCCAAAGAAGGAAAGACAAAGCACCAAGTCAAAGCAGCGATCAAGCAAAACGAAGAAAGTAAAAAATTAAAAAACCCAACCCTACGATGCCGAATCAAAACCCTAACCATGCACAAGACGCTGATAAAACCAAATTAAATCTCCCAAGTGAAAACCAAAAGCATGCTCCAAATTCAGAGCTTCGCACTACGGGAAATTAAACAGGAAAAGACGCTAGACGATCACGAGAAATCTTTAGAAGGAATTAGGAGAAAGCTACAGCTTGCTAGCATATGAACAGTTTGCATCAATCAAATGCTGAGAATGACGGTGGATGGCGCTTACATCCAGCGGCGGAGGAGTCATCATAGTCATGAGTAACGGTGAAGGATGAAGCAATAGGAAAGGCAGTTCCGGCTCGATCGAATGAATCCGGTAGCTGAAGCGCGAATCGAGAAGAGAGGGAGAAATTTGAGAGAGACGGGAAGAGAGGCGAAGACGTGAGGACGAGTTGTTAAGAAGAGAAGAGACACTCCCGAGCGAGGATGGGAACTGGGCTCGCGAAAGAAAGCAGAACCCAAAAGACAAAAAAAAAAGAAAAAGCGATGATGAGTTTTTGTGAGTTTCTCTACAAAATAGTGATCTGAGTCATCTGACTCATAAATAATAATAATAAAAATTAGGATTTTGCTATAGTAGCTTGCACAAATAGGTTGAGTGCAAAATAATAAAGGTCACCCGAATCTACTGTTTCTATTTTGTTACATTCAACAAAGCCGTCGACCTTGAACATGAAATGGTTGGCCTTTTTGACAAGCAAACAATAAAAAAGGTCGACCTTAATCTTAAAGCAGTCGACCTTGTACATTAAATGGTATACCTCATTCTTAAAAGGATCGAGCTCTATTGCATTACCTTTTCAACATCGTACTCGGAATTATCTAGGGGTAGCAACGAAAAATGGGTATTTGGGTATACCCATATCCATCCTGTTTTTAGAGGTACGGTACCCAAATATCCGTAATATTTATTACGAGATACGACTTGAGATTAAGAATTTTAATATGTTAGTGATTAAACTGTTAAGAAGTTATGATTTCTTGCTATTATAATTGTGGATGAAATTTGTTGGTTTCTATCGTAATCTCTTAGACCCAACAATGTAGAGACATCGACAAACATAATCACACAATTCAAAGATCGTAGACTTATTTTACTATAAGCGGTCGATCTTTTACTATAAGCGCTCCACCGCAAAATCAACATTTCCCTCTACGTTTCACTTCATGAGGGACGGATTGATGTATTGTCGACTCTTCTTATATCTAGTCGGCCTCTTACTGGAAATGGTCGGCCTCATTGTAGTGGCCAACCTCTTTTTTTATGGTCCACCATTTTGTATATGACTAAATTGAAAGGACGACCTCTTTCCTATTGTGGTCGACCATTTATTTTATGGCTGCCTCAAATCGGTCGACTAATTTTGTATTGCGGTCGACCATTTTGGTAATGACTACCTTAAAACGGCCATCCATTATTATATGTTAATGGTCGACCGAAGTTTCTATCGGAATGACCACGATGGTGTAACCGATGACCGGATGAGCACATAGGTCTACCGAATTGTGCAAGTCACGGTGCCTTGTATGTCCGGATTTTTCCAGAAATAGCACCATTAAAAAAGTTTACAAAATAGCACCCAGACCACACAAATTCCAAAAGTAGCACCCTTTTTTAAACCGCAACCTGAGAGTGCGGTTTGATTTTCAGAACGTGTCGGGACGTTTCTCCGGTGCAATCCATGGCAGATGCTCCCAAGCCCAAAATTGAACGATGAACATTGCCCCGCCAACCTCCCTCACAGCTTTGAGAGATGCATTACACAAATGGTGGTAGATATTAGCTAGGCAAGCGGATGCCCAACTCAACTCCCCCATCGCATCCCAACTACCAAGGAGGATCCTAAGTCATCCACAGCTAAGTAAATTGTTGGATTTTTTGGAGAAGAACACTCCTCCGATCATGCCTATGAGATAGACACGAGCATATCTTTTCTTCACCTCTTCGGGACTTTCCTCGGTCAGGCGCACCCCGCCTTTTGTAGGATCGTGTTGGTCCTTCAACCACTTCGTCAACCAAGTGATTGATACTTGGTTTTTCCTCAATGGTGCTAAGCGATCTGTCGCATCAACGCTCCCCTTTATTGGCACTCGCACCCCCAAAACACTGTGGATCAAATGCTGCCAACCGGTCATATCGCCAACATCCTCGGGCGCATGATCACTCACACACTCCGTTTTGCCGTCGATGGGCATATGGGTTAGGATGGCGACGTCCTTTAGAGTGATAGTGCACTCTCCTTCCCGAAAGTTGAAGCAATGTGTATCTTTTCGCCATCTCTCCATCAATGCGGCGATGAGCTGACGATCGATTTTTATGCCCACGAAATGCCTAATCGACTCCAACCGTGCCTTTTTGAGAAAGGGCAAAATAACGTCGTTCCATGGGAGCACATTGGTCGTACCCCTGTAGCGGAGTATTTGGTATGCCTCCTAGCAAATTTAACGTTATTTATGATATACTAGTAATAGTTTTTTTTATAACTAAATTAATTAAAATAAATGAATTAACTTTGACCATAATTTTATTATAATTATATTATAACAAAAAAATTAAAAAAATTCAAGTTTTTTTCCAAGATATATTCATAATTTCATAAAGCAAACATACATGATAGATTAATTAAATAATATTTTAAATCAATAATAATTTAAAGAGATACATATTAAAATATTTGAAATTAATAAAATTATAATTGTACACATACACATAAATCTATTGGTTGTTTTAAATAATTTAATCGAATTGGTTGTTTTAAATAATTTAAACGTATTGGTTGTTTTAAATAATTTAATCGAATACAATGCAACACTCGTAAGACTCTTAGAAGAGGTATAAATCTTCTTAGAAACACAGCATTTTTAACAGAAAAAGGGGGGATCCGAGGATCGCTTAAAACCCGATTTTCTTAGAGAATGGGAGGATCATGATAATTGCTTAAAACCTCATTTCCTTAGGCATGCATCTCTTTATAAAGAGTCTAAGTAAGTGGCGCTATGTATTCGATTAAATTATTGAAAACAACCAATACGATTAAAAATGATCAAATTTATTTTATATTCCACTAAGTACGTTAACAAATTAAAAGAAAGAGAAATATTAAAGAATTGTATGTACCTCGTGATCGTTCCAAACATCCCGTGAACGATGATTGGGTTGGTCATACGACACGGTTGGATCACTAGGCCATTGATCAACATAATACCGTTGGTTGTATATATCCACGTCGTCCCCAACCTACAAGAGAATAACAACAACATTAGTACATAGATTAATTGAAAAGGTTATAACAACAACATTTAGTAATGAGTACGTACCGCTTGAAATTCATCATAATAAATTCCATCTTCTTGGAACCACTCGTCCATTTTTTCGCGAAAGTCGGACAGAGACTCGTCCAAAGAAATGTTTTCTAATGGCAGATCGGACTTAGCCGCAACCAACATACCACTATTTCCTAGACTTTTGGGAGGGGAGGGGGATGGATAGAGAGATAATTTTAGAGAGAGAGAGGAGAATGGGTTGTGGTGTGAAAAATGAGGAGGGGGAGGGGGTATTTATACCCATCAGACCGCACCCTTCAGGGGCGGTCTCGTAATTTTGCTCATTGCAAAACCGCACTAGGAAGGCGCGGTGCACGGCGACCGAGGCGCTAACCGTTCGCCAGGCGCGCGGTCTTCGATCCCTAACGCGGATCGCTGCGCTGGTGCGCAGTTAGCCGTTGGATCGCCACCTCATCCAACGGTCCTGGGGACCGCCGACTCGGGAACGCGGGCCACAAGCGGAGAGTGCGGTTTTTGGGCTGCACTAGCGTGGACCGCTCTCCCGGTGTACGGTTTGCACATAAAACGCACCTCGGTTTATATGTAAAGGTGATATTTTTGGAATTTTTGTGGACTGTGTGCTATTTTGGTAATTGTTTTTTAAAAGGTGCTATTATTGGAAAAAATTTCTGTCTCACCATAGGTGTACCCAAAAACTTAATTTACAAAATGTGGGAAGAAATGGATAAGAGTGTTCAAGCGGAGTGGTTATCGTGGTAATCATTTTATCTGGTAGTATTTTGATAATTTGGTTTCGTTAATTTGGATAATTGGTTTGGTTTGATTAAATTTTTTAGCATGTTTGGTTTAGGTGATTTTGTTTGGTTTCGGAACCAATCGAACCAAATTAACCAATTAAGTAATTAGTCATATGTCTAATATATATTATATATACATATTTAATACTGCATTAACCACTCAAGAGTCAAATGTTCCTCCTTCTTAGGCTCATAAAAGATAAAACTTAATATTGTTCCTATATTGTATATTTATATTTGTAGAGTGTAGACCACAACATATGGATACCTAATTCAGATAAAAACTCATACATTATGTTGGATTAAAACTTGAAAATGATATCTTTTTCATCCTTTGATAATTATTAAAAGACTAAATCAATTCACACAAACACAATAGTTCATTAACCCGATACCATTGCATATATTTTTGTTAGGTGAATACTTCTATTGACTATAAGATAATTGTATTAGTATTGGTTACATGTATTTATGTAAGGTTTAACTAGATTGCTATGTTTATCCATTATATAAATTGTTGAATTGATGTATTAACTGAAAAATTTTCTCAATTAATGATAATGTGATGTTATATTGGTTAATTTGGTTAACCAATTAATCAAACCGATTAAACTTTAGTTTGGTTAATTTGGTTGTTGTATTAGTTTGGATGGTTTGGTTATAATATTGTATTCCATTGTTAATAGAATTTAGGCTTGCTTGGTTTGGTAATTACCATTGTAACCATTTGAACACCCCCTAGAAATGGATGAGTTCTTATAAATACACTAATTTGAAGGTAAATGTGTACACCGTAGAACAATAAAAGGGTAGGTGATCTTAAAAGAAGTTGCATTGATATGCACTCCAAGACAAAACCTGTGAGGGTCTAGAAACTAAAGCCGACCCATATCTTGTAAAAAAATGTTTGGAATGTTATATTCTCTTTCTCCTTTTTATTTTTTCCTTCATATCTTGTTGATTCTTATTTATTTTTGGTTGGAGAAAAATGAAGGATGGTATTGGGATTTTTTTTTTGTGAATCCTTATGATTTAATTAAACTCAAGAAACTTGAAGGTCCATATCTTCATACATTACTATATCGACTAAGGTCATTGGAGGCTTGCTAATCCCTCGCATTACTAGATCCCAACCCACTTCGAGATGAGTCATTTTGTGAGTCACACAATTAGTACAACACGTGATGAAAGTCCAGTTAGTTATACGCCTATAAGATGACTCGATCGAGGAATTATTTTCAAGATTTTTCCACAAATCCTGTCCATTTCCGACATATCATCATCTCCCTCACCTAACTTGTAATGAGTGTCTAACAATCACCTTCTACCATCAACGAGATTACAGATTACAGGGGAGATGAGAAGTATTTATACTTCTCCATGTGGGTCTATGCCTAATCCAATCTAGTAAAGGAAACGGTTACAGACCAGGCCCAGAACCAGAACCCAAATAACAGCGAGACCCCTGACTATTCCAGTCATAGCGGTTGATAGTCCGATTCAAGTCACATCAACAAATCTCCACCTAGACTTGAATCCTCTTCCTCTGAAATCTCTGATGTACTCTGCTCCTTCTCTTTCTCCCGCCATCAATGCCCTGTAGGGTGGAGTCACCCACTCAAGATATTCAGCAAGTCCAAACAGTGTTGGAACTTGCCATGTGGAACCGGCTTCGTGAACATGTCAGCAGAATTATACGCGGTGCCAACCTTCTTCACCTTAATCGTCTTCTATGTCCTCAAGAAATGATACCTCATGTCGATGTGCTAGCAAGGAAGATGGAGGCATAGGTTTAGTCCACGACACAAATGTTGACCGACTCGATCATATCATCCCTTAGTCAACCCCTTTGAGCCGTGTGTTTAAGGGGCGCCCTTGTTTTAGGTAGTTCTCGCTACTTGAGCTTGATTGATTTAGATAGAGCGACCCTACTTTCTTTGAGTCTACACCGTATCGAGTCGCCCTTGTGTTTGGAAGCTCCATTCATATCATTTGAGCTTAAACAAGGTTCCACATGAGTGATTTGTGTATGTTTTTGCTAAAGAGTGAAGTGAGTGTGGAGGTAGTTCTTAAAGGTAAGCATTGTTCCTTAAGTTAAAAAATGTGTCATGTGTATATAGCTCTCTATAGCCCCCAAAGAAAAGAGAAAAGAAAAGCAAAAAGAAGAAAAAAAGAGATCAATAAGAGCGCAAAGAAGAAAAGAGAGTGGCCACCAAAAATATAATAAATGTTGAACATGATCTTAGAAGTGTTGCTTAGAATGCAAGCTATAGGAACACTTACATGTTGTTGACCTCTACACTCTTGTGCTTGAAATTGAATAGCAAATGTAGAAAGAAAGATTGTTGTGAATGGTTTGGTGATTGGTTGTGGTTTGGAATAGTGGTAAGTGCGGTTTTTGGGCGATGCTAATGGCCGTTGTTTGTAGGAAAGGTTCTAGTCGAAACCATAGAACCTTGTGTCTTAGGTTGAAGATGTGGAACCTCATGTTGTGTTTGCCACCACCCAAAAAGCCTTTTTCCCCATGTCTTAGACCCTAGCCAGTCATTTGAACTTGTGTCTAAGACCTCCGAACAAGCTAGCAACGACACCCATCTTGTGAGCTCTAACATTTAGAGGCTATCGTCATGGTAAAGGGACGTTACGATTGAGAGTGAATATGCACATATTTTGCATCGAATGGTCCTGACCCCACTGGTCGAGAGTGAGCGATTCTTCATCATGTTTTGTTCATTTCTTTTACCCCGGTGAGGACCTAGGTTGCTCGATCGTTCGTTCCTATGATGTGATCTTCATGCATGAGTAACTGTGATTAGTGAGTCATCAAGGCATGTTTTGTGTTGGTTGATGAATAATGTGAGAACTCTTCTTTTGCACAATCTTAATACAATTGAATGTCGTTTGTGGTGGTTGCCAAGATTACTTTGTTTTTGTCCATAGGTCGGTGTCAAATAACCATTGTGATTCATTCGTCTTGTGCCCTATGACATGCCCCAAAAATTGTGTTGAAAAAGAAGTTGTTAGCTTACCTTGTTTTGAACTTGGTTTGCTTGGGGACAAGCAAACGTCTAAGTGTGGGGGCGTGTTTCAGGCTCAAATGTACAGATTTTACCCCTCATTTCTTATTCGTTTAGCTTAGTATTTCATCATTCCTCGACATATTTCACGCTAGGTTGTGCTTGTTTTGTACATTTCAGGTCCTAG